CTTGTTTTATCTATTTCTTTTTTGAATTTTTTAAGTGCCTGCTTGTATTCTTCTTTTAGTCGTTTTCTTTCTTCAATGGTGTTTCTGGTCATTTTCCTTCTAAGTTTCCAGACCTGCTTTTTTTGCCCCTCTAGTTTGCTTGTCCACTAAGGCATTTTCTTTTAATTGGTATTTTTTATTTTGGTTGCTTGTTGTCCAGCCATTTGCATTTCTTCGGTTATATGTGTTACATACTGATCAATGTCCAAGTTTGTAGTAAGTTTTTGGAAGTCATACTCTCTTCATTTCCTAGCAAACTCCTCTCTAAATAGATCCCAGTTGGTCAGTCTGCATATTCTCCTCCCATTGGTGTATTCACCTATTTGAAAATTGTTTATTTCTGTGATAAGGTACCTTTGATTGCTCCCTGAAGGTATAAGTAGTCTCACAATTTTCTATTTTGTGGTCTGGTTCTTCAGTGACTATGACTACCCTCTGTTGTTGCAGTGTGGAAAGTGGGAGATGTGCTCATATTTGCTCAGGTAATCCTGTTTTCATCCATCATATCTGAAATTTTCCTTTGTCTTGTCTTGTTGCCCATTATAATTATATTTCAGCTATTCAGTTTCTTATAATATCCTCCAGTTCACTAACACAAGTTTTGTCATCTTCCGCTGGGGAAAGATAGATATTTATTAAGTAAATTTGTGGGTTTTGGTATATTATAGTGGTAGTGAATTTCTCATTTGAGAGTTGTGGGATCATTTCTAATTCTAAATTTTTGTTTCAGACAATTGTGCCACACTTTGGCCATTTGTTGCTCTGATTCTGCAGAATTTGCCAGCTCCCAAATCTTACGATATTATTTCCAATTATGTATGGTTCCTGTATTACTATGAGATCCACCTCCAGATCGTTGGCTGTCTTAACCAACAGGGAGCAGGCTGACTTGCTCTTTTGTGCGTTAATTTGAAGTATTTTTTTTTTAATTTGAAGTAATTTCTTTTGAAGTAATTTGAAGTAATTTTGAAGTAATTTTTTTTTTAATTTGAAGTAATTTCTTAAAGTTACAGCTTTTGGTTGAAGTGAGTTGACAGAATCTGTATTACTATTGGTTTACTCCCCATAATTTGTCTGCATTATAACTACTGACTTTGTCTTTTGTGATATCAGACATTTTGTTTAAAAAGCATTATGATCAGGGGCATCTCTCTTCCCTGCTGGTAAATTTTTATTTGCATCCTGACAATTAACGCACATTAGTTTTTTGTCTCTATTTGGACAATCTGAAAAACAGTGGTCTTCTGCACAGTAGCTACACCTTTTTTACTGTCCTGGGCAAAATGGTTGTGGTCACAACACCTGAATAAGTACACAAAGTCATCCATCTTAATTGCTCCATGCAAGCATTACATGGTTACTTGCTATCAAAATTTTTCTTACTTCTGGAGCCACACCCTTTCTTAACATTGCCCTTATTAAGGATTGTGGTTACACAACATTTCTGCTGAAACTCTTCAAGGACGATTCCTCGCCATAGCTGGTTTTGTCCGTACAAAATTTTAGTTAGCTTGTTTTCTTCTATGTAGTTTGGCACATTTATTAAAATTATCTTGGGGTGTCTACCCTTTGCTACTTTTGCTTTCACTTGGCTTGTCACCTCTGGGATTGCCTCCACTGCATCTTTCAGTATGTTTCCATCTTTTTGTGTAGCTACTTCAAATTCCATTTCCACTTATCTTGAGCATACTCCAATTTCGAGTTTATTAGGTAGAATTTTTTCCCTTATCACCCAAGTTGTCAACCTGAATATTCATGTCGACCAAACAATTCCCAAAAATGGTACAAACTGACTTAAGGACACTTAACACCAAACCTTACCACACGTAATTGGTCATTTTGACCCATATTATAACCCCCAAAACTTTAGTCCCAACAAAAACCCAAGATCCCCCTAGTACCGTTTAAAGTAGGCTAGAAAGTTTAAACCCAGTCTGTCGATTAACAAATGCATTATATTAGTTGAAAATTTTGATAATTCAGTAAATAAAAAATCGACCATTAAAAAGTTCATTAGTAGCCGTTAAAGTCCATTGGCAACAGAAAACTTTGAAATTTCTCCATTAACTCTAATGCTACAGAATTTAAACCCTTATTACTCACTTAAAACTATAACTACCCCCACCCAATTTTAGGTACCAATATAAGAATTGACCCTGCACTAAACCCCTAGTGCCAACCCCCATTAATTTAGTTTCCCCCACTAGATCCGACTGAAAAACACTAAGTTTAAATTTAATTTAGCTAGAGACATAAAACTGATGTCAAATGAACTAGGGTGAGTTCCTGCACATGATTGTATAATTGGATAGTCCGTAAGTCCAAAAGTCTCTGATATTATCCAAAAATCACAGAGCACAAACAGATATGTCTTTAGAGCAACGGCAAGAGTAGTGGTTGGGTACATAAATTCTTTTTTCAACCATATGTGTAAGTGTGTATGTATATCAATGTACAGTAGAGCATCAATTATCCGAAACAATTCAGGACTGAGGTTGTTCAGATAACTGATCATTTATGAAAAAATATATTATATTTTATATCGATTTTGTTTTTGACACTGTTGTACATAAAACACGTAGTTAATTAACAATAAACTTTACAGTATTCCCTCTCAATACAACCGACTGGGGTGAACTACACAAGAACTCTCCCAGACATTCAAAAGATGTGTTGGAATTTTCACCTTTGACCTGACACTCAGATCAAGTTACAACAGATAAGTTACAATGTTACAACATTATACACGAAACTGTACTGTATATATTTTGTATCATATGTCTTACAAATATGTATCTTACATAAAGTAATACATTAAAGTAGGCCTACAGTTTAGGTTGGCAGGGAGGGGGAGAGTGCTGCAGCACTAGCGGAAATTTTAATTTGCCGACTAGAATGCTTTCAGTTAACCGATGTTTTGATTGATTGGTATTTGGATAATCGATGCTCTACTGTATTATATATACAGATATATATTCAGTGTAAAATATAGCAGAGATATATACATACAGTGGAACTTGTTTAAGGTGGTCACTATATAGAGAATACATACATTATATCAAACAAATCTGTGACACATTGTTTTGTTTTGTTTTGTGAATTTATTTCTATTGACATTGACAGCTGGGGTTTTATATAGCAGTATGTACATTAATTGCATCAAAATTGGGATATCCTGTTTTTGAAGTTTTCTGCTGTTATGTCATATACATTATTTGATTCTCCACATAGTACTTTCTCTGAAATGGCTTGTCTTTGCATAAATGATTTGAGTGAGTCGTTTGATTCATTAATTAAAGTTCTGAATATGAAGCTTTTCTGAAAGTGTGAATGCTACTTCCTTTAGCGTTCATATAGTAGGCCAGATGGTTTCAGCAAATTCATGCCATGTATTAGCTGAAACCATTTCAGAACAGCAGCATTTATCTCAAAATTTGCTGTCTTTCATACTTTTATGGAATGGTCTCCATTTTCGTTGTCTTAATAACGTTTAAAGTACTCTACCTTCTATTTATGAATATTGTTCATACATGCTTTACTTATCCTGAACTTTGCTGCGTCTTTTTGTTGACTATTGGGTTCAAGAAACTTAATAACCTCAACTTTTTCTTTCAGAGAAAGCTGTATATGGCTTGGTTTGAGCTGTAATTTAGGACTGCAGAACTGTAGATTAACAGATTTTAGATGCTCTCAGTAAAAAACAAAACATACAAAACTACAGAATGAACTAATGTAAACAAATAGGAGAGAAGCTCAGTACATTAGAAAACGATGTGATTTTTCTGGAGTTTCAGAAAACTTCAGAAATATCACATCTAAATTCTGCCCAAACAAGATTGCTAGACATTTCAGATATTTATAGCCTAAACAATTATAATTAACACACAATAATCTTATTATATCCCAGTAATGATAAAAATTAAATAAAACTAACATTTTTTACCATATTCATGGTCTTCCTCAGGCTTTTTGACCAGTACAATTTGAATATGGAATGCATCAAACAATATGTTTAAATTATCTTAAAATTCCGAAAAATTTAAAATAGAAGATAATTTTTTAGCCTAATGTGCTACTATAGTGATAAAAATATTATTACATCACAACAAATAAATAATAAGATGTACTTAATGGTGTAGAATAAGCATCTAATGTTGCTCTCGTTTTTTCTCATAGCATCACCTCCATTAAGGATATAAGAACATAACACAAAGGATGCAGCTAATGTTTCTTATGCATGGATGCTTCCCAGTGATTCTGAGAGAAGTTGTTTTCTAAACAATTATAAAAATCCATCCCAAAATTTATAATCACTAGTGCCTAGAAAGTTAGACATTATACCTAACTTTCTCCTCAAATCCACTTAGGATTACTAGTAACCAAAAACCCACAATCCATCATATTTTTCTATAATGTGGTCAATTGAACAGGTTACACTTCAGGAAAATCAGATGTAACAGTGGTCACATTTCACAATAAGTAGGTGGTCACTATACAGAGAAAAAGTATCCCTAAAATCTATTGAGTAAATTTCAGGCCAAATAAAATTGGTCACTATAGGAAGGTGGTTATGTTACTGAGTTGGTCACATTGTCAGGTTCCACTGTATATATAATTTGAAGTATTTTACTTATTTTGAGCAGTTTTTGTTTTGTTTTTTATTTCTGACTTTGATAATGTCTGTGATGGTTACCACTTGCTAGCTGTTTACAGACCTGAAAGAAATTTGCTGCTCATCTCTATATAACTAAAAGTATTATTTTACTGAATTTTATTTTGAGTTGTTATACCATCTAATTATCTCATAATATATTTCAGAGTTAAACAATACACCTTTAAATGGGTGAAGTATCACTGTTAAAAATGCATTGTTTAATTCAGTAGATTAACTACAGTGGATAATTCAACTTTATATTTCAGAATTTATTTTAAATGAACAAAAATAAATATTAATTGGACATATAATTTTAATTATAAACATGTCATTTCTAATTTAGTATTATAATTGCATTTTAATTTTAATTATAGTTTTTACATTTACGTAGATTTTTGTGGAAATTAAAACAGAAGTTGTCTTCGGGAGTTCACATTATTATATTTTATGGGAAAAGAAATCGTGTTCGAAAAAATTTAAATTCTTCATTATCAGAATTACACCAATCTGAAAGATTTCATTTACATCCATTAGTGGGCATTAAAACTAAAGGATCTTGTGCTAAGAATTTATCAAAAACTGTAAGTAAAGTTTATATTATTTGATTTGAACTGTACATAATATTACATTATTTTATTGTACATTTTATGTACAATGTAATCATTGTCATAAATCTAGCATGTGTAACTGATGATAATTTGATTTTTTAACAAAATATAAAAGTATTTGGCAAAATGTACTTTATGACATTACAGTAGAGTGTCGATTATCCGAATCAATTGGGGACTGGGGTTGTTCAGAAAATCGATATTTCAGATAACTGATTATGTACAAAAAAATATATTAACCTATCCCATGTTGAAATTTTTCTCCGTTGCGTGTCACTTCGCGTTGAATTTTTGTCGCTGTTAAGCTTAATGAAGACTATTGTATTGTTAAAAATTATTTTTTTATTTTGTACAAACAAAATAAATATATTGAAAAATATAAAAACAATAAAAAATTATACTTCAGATGTTAATTTAGTATCAAAAACGTAAAATATTTGAGTAGCCCAAGACATAG